TCAATCGGATCGATTAAGGTGTTTAAATGCAGGTTTTTCAGTCCGATTGAGCGGTCAATCTAATAGGTTATTTGGTTGCATGTAAACATAGCCACTGACTGCTGTTGCTTCTGATTGCTTTTAGAGTGAAAACTTAGCCATAACTGCTGGCCTAGGATCAGTTTTCTCCGTAATAATAGCATATTGGCGAGACAGATTTTGCAAACGGCCCAGTGTGTATGTGTGTTTGTGCTCTGGAGAGCGGTAAATTTTATTTACAATGTGTTTTTGCAGCATGAGCAATGTAGCCAATCACAGATATACCTGTTGTTTTCTTGAACGCAATGGCCAATCAGAGGTGTTTAAGTCAGAATCCATTTACCAGTTTTTGTCAAGTGCTGAGTTCTGGATGCTCGTAAATCTTGTCGTCATAACAAATTGTAGACATTATGTAAATAAGATATTCATTCATATATGTTCATATAACAGAACTTTGTGAGATCATGATGAACTAAAGGCTGGAATACACTACACGACTTTTGCACTGATTTGCGATCTGGGGGAGTCGGCAGTGGTTGCCGAATGTCTGCACTGGTTTTTTTTTCTGCAGATTTTTTAGATTCAGACTTTGATTCCATCCAGTCGGAGGACATCAAAACATGTTTGATATTTTGAGCGGATTTTAAAACACATAGTGTATGATGCATCGCTAATAAATACTGTACATAATAGTCATAATACGCTGGTCAGAGAATGGAAATCAAGGGTGCGAAGTCACAAAGATCGAGAAAAAAAAAAGGGTAAAGACAAAAAAAGGAAAAACGTACCATGCAACTCACTTCAATTCAAGGTTGAAAAATACGTAAATCCTCATAAATACAGAAAAATCAATGAAGAATGCGTCACTGTCACAAACTGCTCTGAGACAAGAAGGTTGAGGATCCAAACGCAGTATTTATTGAACAGGGTAATCCAAAGACGTAATCCAAATCCAGGCAAGGGTCATACACAAACAAGCAATCCAAACAAGAACAGAAAAAGGCTGAGGCAAGGAGAGAAGTCCGAGGGAACAGGCAGAGAATCAAGGTAACAGGACACAGGAGAAACAGGAGACAAACACACTCAGAATTGCAGATCAAACACTAAACAAGACTTTGCAGGGAATGACAGAAAGAACCTGGCTTAAGCCTGGTTCACACGGCAGGAAAATTAGGCCGATTTTAGCCCTGATTCACCCCTTTCGACAATCTTAAGGATGCTCCGATTATCATAAAATAATCTGATCAGATATTCCTGCCGTGTGTGGTGTGTTAAGACTGCTCTCGTCTGCTCGTCGGGACCGCTCCGATCTCAAATCGGGGATATCCAACATGTTGGATTTTTTTGGCCCGATTTCTCCTCGTGTGTGTTGTCCAGCCTGTGGACTGTGGCGTGTAGCCAATCAGAAAGCGAGGTGACGAGGTGCAGAGGAAGCACCGGGAAACAAAATCAAAATAGTCCATGCTCGCGTTGTCTCCACTTCTTTGACCATCGCCTTTTCTTTTGATAACGTTTTTTTTTTTTTTTTTTTTTTGGTTAAAAACAAACTACACTGATCGTTTACTCTTAAGTCACGTTTGATCTCGAGGGATTTTGCGAGATTTTCCGTCTGACCTGGGAATGCTCGGGAGTCAAACCGGTCCGTGTGTGATGTGTTGATTGTGCTGTGTGTGGGGTCTCTCAGGTTTGGAAAATCGTCCCGTGTGAACCAGGCTTTATATAGGGTGAATAAACAGGATAATGACATACAGGTGGATACAATGAGTGCTGATGAGTCCAGGCAGAGAATTATGGGAGATGTAGTTTGTGAGGGAATGACAATAGTCTGATGTGGAGTGCCCTCTGGTGGCTCTCAGGAGCACTCCAGCTGGTGACCGTTACAGTCACGTGTTTCGGTTCAGTGTATTGTAATGTAGTGTTTGATCCTCAGTCCTGTAGTGTATGATGCCCAGCTTTTCTCTCTAACCATTTACAAAGTCGGCAAGTGTATGATGCCTGCTGTTTAAACATCTTTTCAGATTTTCAAAGTCGTGTAGTGTCTTCCAGCTTTAAGATGAGTGACAGCTTTTTAGTTAATAAATGAAATGTTCTTTGTGCACTTTCCAGCATGCCGAATCACGCACACAGCATGCTTGCTTTTCTGTTCAAATTAACAGTGGTTTGTGAACATAGACACTTAATAAATAACATATAATTTATCAGGAGTGTATATGCTGAATGAAAATCTATTTAAGGGGTTCTGTCGCATATGGCAGATTGGTTCAGAACAGGGTGCGGTTTGCATGAAAAACTGGTAAAAAAGCTGACATGTGGATCCGGGAGCGCAGGAGGAGGTGGGATGTGTTCGGTTGCACTAGAACTGTGGTGTGTGAATGTGAAAGTAACTCGGACTAGAGTTCACACTTGGACAATGAATGGCTCAAAGTCAGCTTTCTCCTCAAAGGAGTCAGCTTGCAATCTGCAGAAAGCCACGTTCATGCAACGCACATACAGTAGACACAAGTATCATTCTCTCTGCTGTTCATAATTTCACCAATAATAAAACCAACACAATATATTGACCCGCGTTCTGTTTTCCATCATGACCCGTGCATGACGTAAGATGAACGCACTGCATCAGGGTTTGATAGTGTCAAGCGTGAAACCAGACCAATAACAGTCTAATAAGAACAAATTAAATAAGTTTGTTAATATGGCTAGTAAGATTGCAGGTAAACAGCAATATGGTATGACAACATTCCCCACTAACACAGAACGTTTAGGGAACGTTCGGGAACGTTAGTTTATGGTTCTCTAAAGGTTAGTTTGAACCAAACCAAAAACTAACGTTTAGGGAACGTTCCCTCAGGGTTATAACGTTCCCTAAACGTTAAGGGAACCAACCAACTAAAACGTTCTCCTGTGGTTGCACTATACCTCCACACAACGTTCCCGTTTGGTTGTTTTTGGTTGTTCTGTGTGCGGTTTTGAAATGTTTAAACCAGCTCCATTTAATGACGTAGCATAGAAGGTTTGCAGTCACTTGATTTAGATTCACTCAAAAATGATTGGTCTTATGAAATATAAGTAAGATAAACCGCATAGCAAGAGAATATATTTATTTTTAGGCTGATAATAAATGTAGCTAAAAACAATACTTTTTTGCTTGATTTTTTTTTTTTTTTAACTGTATTAGTTAAAAATACTTAAAACAAGAATCTATCAATAGAACGATTTTTACAACTAAGAAAATTCACTTATTTCATTTCACATTTCACTTCGAACAAGTGGCTCAGTTCGGTGTACAAATCCAACCGTTACACCCCCACACCAGTAGGGGGAAGTGCCTCTGCTTTCAGGTGACCGATTGAAGTCCTGTACTGACTTCCGTGTTGTGCTATTTACATACACCAAAGTCCTTCTGGATCGATACACAGAACTTGCCTGGGAACCCGTCTTCTTTCAGGTAAATGGACGCTCGAGATAAATTGGTGTGTTTGAGCACAGGTATATTAGCCCTAAACGTTATAGACACGTTTTAGTTAGTGCTAGCTCCCAGCTTAACTGACCAGTTCATGTTGCCTAGTACAAGCCACCTTGTGTAGTTACATTTTTTAATTCTGAGTCTGTTTATAGAAATACACACGTGGCACTCACACTGTTTGTGAGTTTCATGTAGGATTAAACAAATAATAATAGTTCGGTAAAATATTTTTATAATAGTTTTCTGCTATCACTGTTAGAATACATTCAGAACTTGTTTCATTTATTCCTGTACCGTTGGCATCCCTGTGCCGTCGAGCAAATAAGGGTGTGTGATGTTACACACGGTAGCATTATACTTTTACGTTTAAACAGTAAATAAAAATAAATAAAAAAACCTCTATCTAATGGTTAAGTGCAGGAAAGAGATTAAAAAAACCACTATACGTGGGTAGTACTGTGTCGGAGAGAGCAACACACTCCATTTTAGTTTAAAATTACCCTCTAAAATGCTGATTGGCCAGGTTGCCTGACGTCAAGGCGTGTGACGCAACACGGACATTCCTGATTGGCTGGGAGAAATGGATAAGTCTACGTAGAACCCCGTTCACTATCAGGAAGTCTTGGAAAAACGACCTACACAGCTTCACATTCTCACGAAAAAGTAAGTGAAATACGCTACAGTTTCATGATGTTGTGGTTGTAATGCAAGTGTTTGGGGTTTATCCTTAAGCCCTTTCCCTCGTAGGGCTTTGTTATATTCCGGCACAGCGCATGCTCATATGACTGGTTTGGGTCCTGTAGCTGTAATAATGGATATAGCTCCAGCTAAATGGCTGTAATTCATATATATATGTGTATATATATATATATATATGTAATGCATATATTGGGCTTTGTTTGAGTCTTTGTATGCGGCTGTGCACGACGTGTATGCTTTGCCGCATTGTATGTTTTGTATCATCATGTTAACCTGCTTGCGTTCTTGTTACAAATAAGATATACCGGTTCTTTTAATTAATTAACATTTCTATGGCTGCTGTGTCTCCCCATTAGAAAGTCTCTGGGCTACGACGCCCATGGACAAACCTATGGATGAGACCAGTGACTCCTGCAGCGAGGAACACCACCCACAAGGTTCACTCAGGTAGCCTACTTCTGGGCCAAATATACAGTCAAGAAAATCTGGCTCTGTACAGGTGACCTATTGCTGCTATTCTATATATAAATAAATAATAGTTTTCTCTGTATGGAAATACTGCTTTGTTCTGCTACTGGGTCTCAAAAAAGTACAGAAGGAATTATTTACACCATTCAAATTTTATTTTTGTAATCTGTACAAATTGTTTAGTCTTTTATTTCAGATTAAACTGTTCCACAAGCAAGAAAGCATTCCAGGACAGATTGTGTGTCTGGAAGCCCTGTCCGTAAGTTAACATTTATGCATGCATTTAAGAAACCAGAGTCATATTTCCTGCCATGGAACTACTGAGTACTGACATTCAACCTGGTGCATATCATGTGACTGTTCTGATGTGTTTGTCTCTTCCTGCCTTTTTTCAGGTCTGCAGATGCCTCCACCACCTGCATGTAAGTTGTTGTTTTTTGGCCATGTGCAAGAAACCTGACATAAATGAACTGACCAATATTCATATCCACTTTCTTTTTAGATGAGTCAACACCACACAGAAAACCAGCCAGTCACCCAGAATTGAATGGGTCTATTGTGACGCAAGCTCAGCCTGAAGGTACAGTGGCTTTCAATTTTCCATTTCCAATTAAATACAATTTCATGACAAGGAACTTGAGAGTAACTTGACTTTTTTATTGTTGTAAACAGCAGAACTCATCACACAGAGGGAGGTGGCTCAGCCATGGAGATGGAAAAGAGAGGTAAGAAGACTCACTTAAGTTGTTCACATATGCAAGTATATAATGTATAACTAAAACTAACACAAATAATTTTTCCATAGCCGTGAGGACATCCATTACCCGCATGGCACAGCAGATGGACGCATTTGAGGAGAAGATGGAGCAGAAGATGGATGAGCTGCTCATGCTCTTAAGGAGCTCCCAGTCACCTCCCTCTGCTCCAGTCGATGACATGTTGCTGTCGCCCTGCTCAGTCACAGAGCTGGAGGAGTTCGACAGGAGTCTCGGTCAACAGGAGAGGAGGGACAACATGGTAATTAAGTGGCCATAGTCTTGCCCTAAGATTAACACTATATAATTGCATAACTTCACATATCATTATAACTGAACTGACGGCTCTTACAAAATGAGATTGTACAAGCTCTCCACTTTGTTCTACATGTATAATTTGTATTTCTATATGTTTTACAGCAACTTTTCCTGACAACCCTTGGAGGTTCGACCAGAGGTACTGCCATCCGTCGCATGCTACGGCGAGTGGCAACCAATGACGTGCTAAAACAGTATAGTCTGCGGGGCAGAAAGGCAAAGAAGGCCTTCCAGGACCTGACAATCTGCAGGGTTATAACAGGCAGGTGATATTTTATTGTTCACATCAGTATTATGCTCAGCTTGGAGGTTTTAATTTGACTTGTAACTATGCTTCATTTTGACTTCTACTCTAGCGGCCTCCCAGAAAAACGTCCCCGCGCTGACTGCAGCAGACGCGGAGGACTTGATTGGGCAAGTGCTAAAGTTTGCCCCACACAGACGGTAAATTGAAATTCTTCTATGTGATGTTCATAATAATCAATGGAATGGGAAAACTATCAATATTTGTGATCATTATTAGTATGACTTATCAAACTTTTGTTTCTTTCTTTTTAGGCCAGCTGAGAAGGACTGAACCTTCAATCAAAACCATGGATCTCTTTTTTTAAAATATTTTTGCAATTGTATTTTTGACACTTTGACCATTCACCTACACATTATATACTTTATCATCCCAATATGCATCTTGCACACTACATTTGTACTATATATACTTTATCATCCCAATATGCATCTTGCACACTACATTTGTACTATATATACTTTATCATTCCAATATGCATGTTGCACTACATTTGCACTATTACTTTGCACACTTCATCCCACTCCATTAGTACTTGTATTGATATGTCTTATTTGTATAGTTGTATTGATATGTCTTATTTGTATAGTTGTATACTAAAACTGATTATAATTCTTGTTGAATTTATTTTTAGGCCTTTTATAATTTTTGTATTTTGTTACTTTTATATTGTATATTAAAGTTAAGTCCCATCAAGTTTGCCTATTCATTTATTCCTGCTAATTTATTATAATTAATTCCTGCTCATGCACAGACAGTTTAAAGTAATAATAAAATTGGTATCATTCCAATATGCAGCTTGCACACTACATTTGCACTATTACTTTGCACACTTCATCCCACTCCGTTAGTACTTGTATTGATATGTCTTATTTGTATAGTTGTATACTAAAACTGATTATAATTCTTGTTGTATTTATTTTTTTAGGCCTTTTATAATTTTTGTATTTTGTTAATTTTATATTGTATATTAAAGTTTTAAGTCCCATCAAGTTTGCCTATTCATTCCTGCTAATATATAATAATTAATTCCTGCTCATGCACAGTTTAAAGTAATAATAAAATTGGTATCATTGTTAAAGTTTTTTAAAGGTTAGGGGAATGTAAAAAAGAACGTTAGGGGAACGTTCCCTAAAGGTTGCAATGTAACCAAAAACGAACGTTCCCTGAACGTTAAGAAAACTTTCCATGGGAACCAAAACCTAACCTTAAAGGGAACCTTAAGGGAACGTTCCCGCAACCAAAAACTAACGTTCCCAGAACGTTCTGGGAACCATAAATTGTTAGCTGGGTTATATGTATCTCGTGGTGTGAGGAAAAGCCATGTAATTCTTCGGGATGAATCACACACTCTTTGTGGTGTATATGAGTTGTCACCATCTGGTCGAAGGTATTGGGTATCGTTATTACGGACTGCCTGTGCACAGATATCTTTTATATCCTCCAGTATAGCTCTATTAAAGGAGTCATAATGTAGTATTAACTTTGATACCCACGCTCTATTATAGTCATTTCATGCCCTTCTAAAAAAGAAAAATTGGAAAAAAATAAACACAGAGCTCGTTTGACCCTTATTTCTGAATGCATTATTGTCTCGCGAGATCTGATGCGAGGTTTTGGCTGTCGTGGACGGTCTTTTTAATAATGCAAATGAGGGGCGCGTTGATTGGTGGTAGGAAGGAGGGGGCTTGACACCGCAGGTAACTTCAGCATATCATTCCAAAAAGAGATCATGGCGCAAGTTGTTAATGAACCCGACCTGGCCGCGACCTACGGGATTCAACCGTATATGTTTGAGCCAGACTCTGAACCAGAGCTGGAAACGGAAGAGGAACAACAGTCAATTGAAGGACGTCTACATCAACATGTCTCTGAATGGTAAAGACAATTTTTTTGACTGAGACATACATTAACATCAGTAACGAGCTAAAACGTTTTTTTTGCTATTTTCTCCCACATAAGTTTAGCTTTAATTTAATGTAGATTACATTAACGGAGATGTAGTCTACTTTATTTTCAGCTTACAGTGGTTATAGAGATTAACGTTTGCTATAATGTGTTGTTTTTGCCTTTTTTGACGTTGTGGTTTTTTAGATATTTAATCATTTTCATCTGCAGACATGTAACGTTATGTTTTTCTTTATGTTTATTAATTCTTGACTGTTTTTTAAATGTATCTATCCTTATCACATACATTAACCGCATTAGTAGTTAGCTGCTGTTTGTTACACAAAATATAGTAATAAAAACACAGTCTTACCGTTTCAAATTCAGGCAAGTCCCTGATTGTTGGAATGGCACCTTTTTCCAAACGTAGCTTCGATGCCAACTTCGCCTGATATTGCCCCAAATTTGTAAAAGATTATTTTGTGAAATGTTTAGCGCAGACACCTAACGTTGAGCAAGTTGAGATGGTTGTTGGAACAGCGTCATTAAAAATAAATTTCATCCTCTTGTCCCTTGTAGTTTGGTCAGTTTTGGGTAAAGAAAAAACATTAGAATGTGGATTATGACAGTCAACCACAGAGCAACTCTCGTGTGCACTACGTTCTTGCATCTTTCTTGACTGAACTGAATATGATGGGGAGAGGGGCAGGGCGGGCCTCCTCTGCGGTGTCCATATATGGTATATCCGGCCCCGTCTTGACGTCATGTCGGGGGAGAAATTGAAATCTCGTATTTGAGTGCGCGTGCACGTTGGCTAGTTTAAGAACCCTGGGGTAAACAAACGCTTCACTTTTGAATATCGGCATCCCGGCAAATGTATAATCATTAGTCAATCATAACATACATTGATTCTCATGGAAAAGTGAAAATTGCACATTATGACTCCTTTAAATAAATTCTTGTGATATCACAGTTGTCATTTTACATCTATGGCAGTGATTTTGCTGTTGCTAGAGGGATGTTGTTGATGTCGGTTGTATTTTGTAAGGTACTTTTGTATTTTTGATGTTTGTTTGTATTTGTCATTCGGCAAAAGTGTTCGGGTTGGTGATGACTGAAGGGTGCCACAGACACAAAAGAATTTCCGAAAGGACAATAAACTTACCAGTGGGAGCCAGGAACAACCGCACACAGACTCGGACCGCAGAAAACATGTCCAGTGTAAAAAAAAAACTAAATGTGTTTTAAAGGATAGGGTGGGTGATGGTGCAGTGGATAAGACACATGCCTTTGGTGTGAGAGATCCGGGTTCGAATCCACTGTGAAACTCACAGTGTTGGGGAAAGTTACTTTGAAAAGTAGTGCGTTACAATATTACGTTACTCCCTTAAAAAGTAACTTATTGCGTTACTTAGTTACTTTTTTAGAAAAGTAATGTGTTACGTTACTTTTGCGTTACTTTTTTTCCACCTGGGCTGGGCTTGTTTTTTTATACCAAAAAAGATATATTTTTGGGCAAATGTAAAGACCCTTTCACACCAAAAGTGAAATAATAAGCCTCAGACTGAAGGAAATGCAGATTTACTCCTGTACAGTAGAGTACAGTAGTGTTCAGTAGAGGGCGCCGCTCAAACAAACCTTTCAGCTGCTGCTGTTCTGGGTAATAGAAGAAGAGGATGCAGGAGAAACAAATTTAACACTTACTTTACCAATAAAAACATAAAAAAATCTATAGTCATTTTTGCTTATGGTTTAACTGAAAAATCGGAGGTCAGAAGCAAGTACTTTGGTCAATTAAGATTAAATGCATAAAAATTTATGTTTTATTTAACATATTTAGGTATTGGAGGTTTGCATAGTGTTCTGATTCTGCATTTCACTGATTTTATTAATTTTGAGGAATATTGAATCTTTTTTGTGCAAGTGAGATGTGTAAATCCACGCTTACATTTAATCTAGAACTATAATAACCATCATGTTTACACACAACGCCTCTGCACTTCGATTTGTCTCAACATTAGGACAGAAGAGCAGTCAGTCAATAAAGGGGAAAACAAAGTAACTTGCGTTACTTATTAGAAAAAGTAACTCAGATATTTTGTTGTAAATTTTAAATGTAATGCGTTACTTTACTAGTTACTTGAAAAAGTAATCTGATTACGTAACTCAAGTTACTTGTAATGAGTTACCCCCAACACTAAACACCAATGTGTCCCTGAGCAAGACACTTAACCCCTAGTTGCTCCAGAGGCGTGCGACCTCTGACATATATAGCAATTGTAAGTCACTTTGGATAAAAGTGTCAGCTAAATGAATAAATGTAAATGTAAAAGGAAGAGTGTGTCTCCTTAGCCTTACCCTGGAGTTGGTTCACCCTCCGACTGTGAACATTCCTGTAATGTTCTCTTATATTCTTCTTATATTCTTTACTTAGATCATAACTGGCATCTTATTATTATTATTATTTTAAAAACATTTCTCCTTTCTATTTGGCATATCTGAGTGACTGCAACTCCCTGATAGTAATGATTCCTGGAAAGTGATTTGAAAACACTTATGGACCACTAATGGAACGCAAATTGCTTGGGTGAATATAATTCTTCACATCTGATGTAAACAATAATAAGTTCAAGCATATCTTATCTTCATATCTATTTTTGATATCAGCTGAATTTAAAAGTCATTT